GTGTCCTGAGAGTGGTGCTGGGCGCTAATGGCACCTACAGCTGCCTGGTGCGCAACCCGGTGCTGAAGCAGGACGCTCACGGCTCTGTCACCATCACAGGTAGGGGGCAGGCAAACAGCTGGGGAGGGTGGGGGGTGCCACCCCCTTTTTTTCTAGACCCTGAGCTGGTGAGTTTGGGTACTCAGCAGACTTTTGAAACACCATCTTCCTACACTTCAGATGTCTCAAACTCACCCCCAAGAAGTCCTGAAGGGACTTTTCTTAAGAGCTGATAAGAAGCATTTGTAATATTTGCTCTCCTAGGAGAACCTTAGGTGGCACTTGTGCTTCTTATGCAGGGAATGGAGTGCCTGCCTGGAATCTGAGGTGTGGGCAGGAGTTCTGGGGCCGCCCCAAGGCACAGCCCCAGGGACCTGGTGAGGGAGTTCTTTCCTATGGGAACTTCTCTGGGTGATGGGAAGGTGTTGCTGCATCCATGGGCACCATGATTCTGAGGCCCTGAGAAACAGCTGGGCCTCTACAGGTGGTCAGTCCCCGGCACCCCATCAATGTCAGCTCTTCTAGAATTGAGCTCTCAACCCAGGCAACAGTTGGAATGGCTGGGGTGCTTTCTGCTGCTCCCATGAGGTCAAACACTAGATCCACAACACCCATTTGGCAATTCTCTGTATCTCTGGTTTTGGGGTCCTAGACCAGACATCCTTTCCCTTCCTTGAGTGCCCACCTTAGTGGGCACCCCTTGTGTTCTAGGCATTCAGGCTCATTCTTCTCTTTTAGGTGTTTCCATCTGGCATTTGCCCGGCCCCCTACCCGCAAGATTGACCCTACCCTCTTCCTGGAGATCCCCTGGCCCTGTGCTCTTTGTGGGGAAGTCACTGCCCTGGGCTCTTAGATGTTCTGAGGGGTCTCCTTGGCCTTTTAAAGAACAGGAGAGAAAAAGAACTATCAGGTAGAGTGAGACTGACTGAAGTGGTCAGGAGAATTCTCCAGGGACCCATGGAAGGTGAGAGGACCTTGAAGGATCTGTGGAGTTCCTGGTAATTTGCACACTGGGCTGAATCGGACATTTGCCACACTCTGCAGAAAGGACTTATCAGTATAGGAGAACGTTGACCCCACCAAAGTGAAAAACCTTTATTTTAAACTTTAGTAACTAACATTTAAAGTGCTTTCGTTTCACAAACGAGGAAACTGAAGCCCCAAGAGAAGCGAGCTCTTTCCCGAGACCACAGCCTAGCACAGTGGCTGTGGCTCTTCTGGGCTTCAGGCTCCTCTTTGAAAACTGGATGCATGATAAATGCAGTAGTTTGCATTTAAATGTTGAGGGTTCGTGGCCCCTTTATACTCATGCGTGGGGGTCTGTGGACCTTGGCTCTAGCACCCTGTAGTGAGCAGATGAACCAGGACCAGAATTCACCTTTTAGCCTGTCAGCCTTATTTGCACTCCTCCCCACTGCCGAGCCTCCCGTGTTTGTTAGAGCAGGTCTGGCCTACTTTGGAGCCCTTGGCCTGTATTTCGCTTCGGACAGCTTTGTGCCTTGTAAACATTCTAGGATTCAGGCTTTCGGTCCCCTAGACTAGTCTCTCTCATACCTGCTGGAGGTTAGTGGAGTCATGTGCTGTGGAGGGGGTTTTATGGAGCAGGCACTGGACGTGGAACCTGAAGACGTAGGTCCGAGTCCTGCTCTGTCCTTTATTGGTTGAACGAGGGCAAGTCTGACCTGTGTTCCAGGAACCAACACCAGTGTAGAGATGAATACAGAAAGAGAGCCTCTCTCTCCGTGGATATTTCTGTGGCTCTGCTCTCTCTGCCGCTGCAGGAGCCCCACCCTGGGTTCCCCTGGGGCTCTTCCCGTGTGCTTCATGGACTGGTTGGCTCTCCTGCCCCCCTCATGTCAGCTGCTGTCCTCCTCTCATCCTTATCAGGGTGGTGGGTCCCTTTGCTTCCAATGTCCAGAGTGGCAGCTTTGTCAGCCGTGCCAGCTGAAGGTAACATCTGCAAACGCTTGCATCTGTGCCAGGGCCTCCCAGCCGAAGGACCCATGGCACTGCTGTTAGCACTTCCGGCACTGTCTGATGCCCTGGGTGCTCGTGGTCTCCAGAGAGCACCGGGAAGTATCACGATCTGTGGTTAGATTTGTTGTCCCCAAGGTTTTTGCCCAGGACGCAGCATGGGTCCAGGGACTGGGCTAGAGGGTGGTGTGCTCAGAACGGCTGCTGGCCCTGACCCAGCTGTGGGCACTTCTGCTCCTTCCGTCTGCCGAGATAGTTAACAGGAGGGCCCTCAGCATTCCATGGAAACATTCCCCTAACAAGCCTTAGGGTTAGAGCACTCTGGTGCTCTCAGTGCCTGCTCTCATCTATACGCAGGGTCCACGAACACTTCCTATGAAGGGCTGGATAGCAACTGCGTGTATTTCAGGCTTCGTGGGCCACATACCATCTCTTGCTTCTGCTGCTTTTTCTTCTCCTTCTATTCCTCCTTTTACATTTTTTTTGTAACCCTTTACAAACATAAAACCCATTATTAGCTCATGGGCTGTACAAACACAGGCCACAGGCCAGATTTGGCTGGCAGGCCTTAGTTTGCTGACTCCTGATCTGTAGGATGGGGAATGTCACCGATTGGGCGGGGGTCATCAGGGAGGGCCTCCCAAGGAAGTGGATCCTCAGCTAGGTGGGGAGCAGGGGAGCACTTTTGAGATGGGGAACTGAAAGCAGTGTTGTGGAGGCCAGAAGGGGCCGTTGCCTCTGCAGAAAATAATCAGGATACCAGTTTGGCTGGAGCAGAGGTTCCCATAGTAGAATTGCATACAAAGGCTGGAGGAGGGCAAGTGGCAGCAGATTATCAAGGTCCTTGAATCATTCTAAGAAGACTGAAGCATTATTCTTGTGTCATCAGGGAGCCATAGAAGATTCTTGAGCCACATCAACCGCAGACTGTTCAGCCCTGCCAGGATGAGGCGTATCCACGCCAGCCATGGCTGGGTCAGGGTTTGGAGAGTGTGTGGATGAGTAGAGAAGGGACATGCACACTTACGTGAGCCCTCTTCATAGTGTTGGGGCCCAGCGAGGGCAGGAGCCCCCCATTCACACCTTGGAGCCAGAGGGTGCTGTCCTCATGGCTGTGGGGGCCAGATGGGATGATTTCTTCCCATTCTCCCCTCTTCCTCTGACAGGACAGCCCATGACATTCCCTGCTGAGGCCCTGTGGGTGACCGTGGGGCTCTCTGTCTGTCTCGTTGCACTGCTGGTGGCCCTGGCCTTCATGTGCTGGAGAAAGATCAAGCAGAGCTGTGAGGAGGAGAGTGCAGGTGAGTGAGGGGTGTGTGTGTGTGCAGATGTGTATGCTGTGTCTTTGGGTAGATTGGTGTCTCCATGACATCAACATGAGTGTCACTTCCCAGTGACAGAATGAGTGTGGGAGTGCAAATGGGGCTAGGTTGTGCATGTGGCCTTGAGGCTGAATATGTCTTTGTGTGTGTGAACAAGTGTGAGCCTGTATGTGAGTGTGCAAATATGGCAGGATGAGTATGTATATAAGTGTGACTGGAAGTGAATGGCGGACATGTAAGGCTGAAGTGTGAGGAGGGGATGAATGTGTCTGTGCAAAGTAGTCTAACTGTGAGAGCGTAAGTCCCATGAGTGTGTCTGAGAGAGAGTGCTGGTTTAGAGCATGGAAATTTAACAGCACAAGTGCAAATGCTTCATGGGTTTGGTGTCACCATGAGAGGGTGTATCTGCCTCAGAGGGGCAGGGTTTGAAGCCGCTGTGGTGTGCTGAGCTGGGGTCAGTATGAGCTGACTTTCGTGACTGGCAGGTGGTGAGCTGACCTCCGTAGATGGGGGGCTTGACCTTGGTAGGTGAGTCAGTTGACTCTGGTGAGTGGTGGGTGAGGGGATGGACATTGGTGAGTGGGTGAGTTGACCCTTATGGGTGATACATAGGTAAAGAGAGGTTTTCTTGGGTAACATGAAAGTAGATGGTAAGATATGGGAGATGACTGGGCGTCAGGAAGAATAGTGAATATGTGAATCAGGAAAAGGCTGGTCCGTTGACAGATAGGTGACTGCCTGTCCAGCAGGTGGCTGGGTGGGTGGGCAGAAGGCAGAGTGGACTGATAGGTAGGTGTGTGTCCATGTTGGAGGGTGGTGGTTGACTGTTTTGGTAAGTGAGTGGATGGGTGAGGTGATAGGTTGGCACACTGGTAGAGGCGAGTAACAGGTCCTTGGCCAGTTGAGCGGTGGCTCCATTTACCTGCCTCCTGCACCCCCAGGTGGGGAAGTGCAGTGGTGAAAACGAAACTGAGAGCTTTTTGTTCGCTCTTCCAGGAGCTGAGGACCATTATGGGGATGGAGAAGGATCCAAGACAGGTAAGTCTGAGCTTGGAGCCGCCCTTATTGCTGAGGGAAGGACACAGGGACAGGGAGGAGGACTCCAGGACCTGGAGGAGCCACATTTGCTGGAGGTTTGAATGAAGTGTGTCCTGTGGACCGAGGCCTCCCCACCCAAGTGCACCTGGTCTCTGCTCAGCACAAGGCCTGCAGGTGGATACCCCGACTTCTTCCCAAGTGCTCCTTCACCTCTCCTGCCCACCTTTACCCATCTACCAGCCGGCTCCACCCTGAGGGACCCTGCACTGTGGGGTCTGGTGGCTTCCTAGGGGAGGGAGTGAGGACACAGGACACAGGGCGGCCTGGGTTTACTTCTAGCTCCTGCCCATTTAAGCTGAGTGGCCTTGAGCTGGTCACTTTGCTACTCTGGGCCTCAGTTTCCTCATCTCTGTGTCTCAGTTCCCTTGTAATAACTGCCTCCCTTCATTTGCATGTGGATTTCATTGGATGAATAGTGTTATGAAGCGTCTGGTATTCTATCTGGCGCTTTGCAAGTGCTCAGCACCTTGGAGTCTGTAATCAGGCAGCAGGTGTAAGGTCATCCCATTCTGGTGAGAGGTTAGGTAGCTCTGGTCACAGGGCTTTGCCTCTCTGGGCTTCATTTTTGCATCTGTAAAGTGTCATCCTGACCTGGCCCCGATGTTACCAGAGGGTTGTTTCGAAGCTCTCTGGAGTGACTGGGTAGGAAGGGGGTTTGCAAAGGTCAAGGTACTATGGGGACACAAACCGGGAGCCCAGCGAGGGGTGGCCGCTGAGACACTGGTGTCCCATGGCCGCTTCACTGCCTTCCCTTCCAGCTCCTGGGCTGAGAGAGGCGGGTTCCTGCTGAGCCATTTGGGATGGTACCGTTGACACCAGCTTCTGCCCCACCCCCACAGAGGGAAGGGCAGGAGATTGACACCTGGGACTGCTGTAAATTATGCCAATTAATTCTCTGCCTCTGGTGTCCGGATGTGGAGACAGCTCTGGGATCAGGCCTCATTTTTCATGCTCAGAGGCAGATGTAGTTGACAGAAGGGAGGGAGTGGGGAGAAGTGGGTGGCTTAGAGATTTGGGCAGTATCAGCTCCGCAAGATCCCGGGTCCATCTGAGGACATCTGCAGCCTCCTGTAGCTCCTTACTTCACCCTGATTTGTAGAGCAGGGTCAGTGCACCCCCACATCTCTAGCTCACTGGAAGGGAGGTAGTTGTTCCCATTTCATAGATACAGAAAACTGAAACCCAGAGAAGGAAGCAACAAGCCACAGAGAGAAGCTGAGACTTGGGACAGCAGCCTAGGGCTCCTTCCCTGGGGCTGCAGTGTTGCTCCCACCCTCCGACTTCTCCCTCCTGCCTCCTCCTCCCCATCCTTCTCCCGCTCACTTCTTCCTCAGCGCCTGTCCCTCTGCCCCACCCTCCACCCCACCACTTTCCACGGTTCCCCCATCACCGTGTGCTTCCTTTTTTGCAGTTCTGCAGCCTCTGAAACACTCTGAAAACAAAGAAGGTAATGACACGTGGTGTTTGCAATTGTGTGTGTGTGTGTGTGTGTGTGTGTGTGTGTGTGTGTGCGCGCACACCTGTGTGTAGGAGGCAGGGAGGGTGGTGGGGAGGTGATTATCACCCTTCCCTGGTGCCCCGAGGCTTCCCCCCAGAAGAGCAGCCTCAATCCCCACCTGGTAAAATGGCAGAGGTTCCGGCCGCTCTGCTAGGACACAGATATGACAGAGACTTAACCAGGACAGGAGCTCACTTCTGTTACAGTCTAAGCATAGGGCATCTTAAGGCCTCCGATGTCCTGGAAACAGCGCCTAGTTAGCTGGTTTCTGCCCTCTTTAACTCCAAGCTTCCAGCCTCAAGACCAGCGTGGCTACTTCAGCTCCCATGCCCTGTGCCCCCCTAAGCAGGGGGGAAGAAGAAAGGGAAGTACAGTTGTTCTAGGGCTTGACTAGAAATAGCTCATGGCACTTCCAGTTCATTGGTCAGAACTCATCACATGACTCCTAACGCAAGTAAGACTAAGAAATGTGGTTTTCAGCTTGGCAGCTGCCTGGTACATAGTGGGTGGTTAGTAAGTGTTAACAATCATTATTATTCATGTTATTATAACAAGCTGTTACATTAGGAAATGGTTGGTTTGAGGTTAATTTGAGCTTCTTCCTTATTGAAAGTAACCAACAGCCACATTTATGTATGTATGTTTATGTATTATGTATGTATGTTTATATATGTACCTGTGTGTATTTTGAACTATATATTCCTTGATGCAGGCTTGCCACTAAATCTGAGTGGCTTCCACCCAGAAAACCAAAGTCAGTGGCCAAAAGTTACTTAAATCTTTTTCAGGTTGCCTGGTGTCCCTGGTAGGAATTCCTGGGCGCTCATCCCTGGTTTAGCTTTCCTCTGAGGAGGAGGAAAGGCCATGGGGTCTTGTCATCAGGGAGCTTCCAGAGGTGGGCGGTGACGGGGATGGGGCCCTCAGGAATTGTGCAAAATATATGATGAAAAGCTGGGTGACAGACTTTCGTGAGAGGCAGTAAGAGGTCTTCAGAAAGGCAGCATCGTACAGCAGAGAGAACCCCCTAGGTGGGACAGGAGAGCTTGGTTCTAGTCTCTTTCCCTGACCTTCTGGGGTTGTTTTCTCATCTGCGGAACGTAGCGAAAGCCCACCCCTCTCCCTCACAAGATGGTTGTGAGGGACAGGCAAGGTTACAGATGCAGAAATGCTCTGTGAAGCAAGCCCTTTCAAATACTGTAGACTGTTCCGTGGCAGTAGTGGAGGCCTAGGCTGGGGTCCGGAGGGGTGGAGATAGAGGTACCCCCTCCCTGTTGTTCTGAACCAAATGAAGCACAGGAGGACCAAGCAGATGGAAATCAAAATGTCAGCTTGGGTTCTGAAGGGGTCTGCTGGAGAACGTGGCCTAAGTGTGCGGATCGGTGGCTTTCTGATCCTGCTCTCCAGTATGGCAGCCTGGCCCCCACCGTCCCCAGAAGAGAGAGATACTTGCCTGGGCGGACAGAGTCCAAAGAACGGGAGAGGGAGGGGTGGGGTCACACACGTCCAGGTCCTCCTTCTAAACCCTCCCCCCAGGTCAGGAGGTGGAGTGAGGCCAGGGCTGTGAATCCACAGGGGAGCCCTCCACCTGGAGACAGGAAGTCAGGGAAAGGAGCGTTGGCACAGCGTGGCTCTAGGGGAAGTCAGTCTGGGAAGGTGAAGTTGCAAAGGGTTTCCTGCTAGCGAAGGGAAGTAGGCCAAGCTGGGGAAGATGGATCACTGGGCAGGCAGGAGAGATGGGAAGGGAAAAGTGTACCAGGCAGAGGGCCTGGTGGGAGGGAAGTGTGCAGGGTGAGGGGACGCATGGGGACTGAGCGAGGCCACTGAGGAGTGGGCAGTCCCCGGAGGCGCCTTCGTGGTCTGTCTGCTGCCCAGCTCCTGCATTTGTGTCTCTTTGGGTCTCTAGGGCAGCTAGTTGGACCCGGGGGCTGCTAGTCGGACTGCTGTGGCCACTCTCACACACACTGCCCACCCTAAAGCATGTGACCATATGCCTGGGGTGCTGGCATATTCCCAAGAGTAGAACTCCTGCATTTAATGCTTCCCCCCGTTTTCTTCCCATGATGAAATGCAGATGATGGACAAGAAATAGCCTGACCACAAGGATCCGGGATCTGCTGCCCCTGCCTTGGGGTCCCACCTACAGCTGCACTGGGGCCTCAGTGTGAGCCCTGGGCTGGGGTTTCCCTGCCCCCCAACAGATGGTTCCTACCCTGGCGGGTCTACTTATTCTGCAAAGGACGCCATACATAGGTTACTCCACAGCCTTATTTCTCCAATGGACATGACTCCCAGGTCATCTTGCTGCCTTATTTCTCCAGTGACACGATACGTAAATCATCCTGCTGCCTTATTCTTACAGACACAATACACAGACCACGCCCCACCTTATTTCTCCAGTGGATATGGTACACGGACCACCTGGTTGCCTCTTTTCTCCAGAGGACAGACTATTCAGACGTCTCCAAAGACATGACACAAGGTCACCCCTCGCCTTGCTCCTCCAGTGGCCCTGATATATTAGTTGTCACTTTTCAGCCTCTCCCCAGCCTGTAACCTCATCTTCTCGGAAGCATCCCTGCAGCCTCGCATCCCCTTGAGTACCTCGGCATCTCCTGCTGCCTCCTGCTCTGGCCCCACCTTTGGCCGTGCTGTCCCCCACTCAGTGGATACAGGTCCCCTCCCCACGCATGAAGAGACGCGCAGGTGCACGTGCTGGAACACGTACGGACGTCCCCTGTCCTGGTCTCTTCTGTGGTCCCTGGGCCCTGCCCTGTGAGCCCCTCCCCACGGGAACTATGTGCTGGTCACACCGGGGCCCTGGGGGTCAGCTTCTGTCCCTCTGCTTTTCCTGCCTTTCCTTTTGTTTATCCATTCAAGAAATGTTCACTGAGCACCCATGGGTGTCAGCACTGAGTTAGGAGCAAGGGACCCTCTGTGAAAAGATGAGCCGCTCCCTCAAGGAGCTCTCCCTTCAGCTGGAAACCTGTGAGGAAACAGCAGTTCAGGAGGGGAGCTTCTGTCTTGCTTCCTACTGTACCCCTCTTCTGTACCCACAGCTCCCTGGGTACACCTCCATCCTTCCTCTAGGCCTTCCCCAGAGCGGTGGGGGAGGGGCGGGGCAGGGGCAGAAACGAGAGAGGGATGGAGCCTCTCACCACAACTGGAAAAGATGATGGTTCCAGGGTGAGTAGGTGGGCAGGCAGCCCAGGCCCAGCAGGTCCCTAGAGCCCAGCACAGGGGAAGCCTGGAGCCTCTGGGGGCAGGGACACAGCCTCTCCTCCCCACCATGGTGCTATTCTGGGCCAGGCAGACCCTTCCGGCCCTGGTTCTGGCCGGCCCCCAGCCTCCGTGGAGTAAACTTCTGATGTTCTGATGTCCTCCCATTAACAGATCTCCCTGCACCAGCAAGAGAAGTCATGGGGATTTCTAATTTAAATATGGAACTCTGAGGAGTTTTGTTAACTGGGGGTGTATTTGGGGAAAAATAAATGCCTTTGTGGAAAGCTTTTCCTCTGTGAAGTGTGAGAAAGCAGGGCGGGCATCAGGACTCGGCAGGAAGGATTCCCCCCTGGACATCCAGGCCGGGTCTCCTTTCCCACCATCCTTACTGCCCGGGGTCTCTGGGGCCATGTGGCCCCTCCCAGGCCTTAGTTTCCCTACTAGTAAAGCAAAGCTGGCAGGGCAGAAAGCCAGGCCCTTTGGTCACCCTACAGGTTCCACCCACTCCTGGAAGTGTTCCCTAATTTCTTTGTCTCAGAAGACTCCAGCCCTGGGCCTGTTAGAGCCTCTGCTAAGGCCCAGTGAGAAGCTGACACCAGGAGCGCAGTTCTATGCAGTTCTATGACAACAGCAGGGGGATGGGAGCCAGGCCTGAGTCGGAGGCCCAGGCCCAGGACCGCGTTCTGCCCTGTGACCCTGAGCAGGGCGTCTTAGCTTCCCTGACCCTTACTTTTCTTATATAAAAAGTGGGCCCGAGGTTTTTACCACCTTCTGCCCCCAAAGACTGAGA